GACGGAAGAGCCCCCCCCCAAGGACTGTGCGGGACTTCCTGGGACCTGTTTTGAAGAAAATACTGAGCAAGGCAGGGAGGAAGTGGGCGGGTTGGTGGGATCCCAGCAGAGGAGTTCTCTGAGGGGGGGCTGTGGTTGAATGCCCACCCTTTGAGGAGGGACTGGAACCTGATGGAGAGATGGTGGAGTTACTGCACAAACCTTTCTGGCTGGAGAGATGCAGGAGCCTCTTTAAGAAATTACTCTTCCTCCTTCTGCAAAGGAGGCAAGGGTTGACACGTGGACTCTCTGGAGCTGCTGAATCCAACCCTACCACCCACCACTACAGTGGACCCTCTACTTACGGAATTAATCCGTATTGGAATGGTGGCTGCAGGTCGAAAAGTCTGTAGGTCGAGGCTCCATTGACCTACAATGCACTGAAAACCAATTAATCCGTAAACGGCCGTTTTTGTTCCGTTTTGGTTCCATTTTGGTTTTTTCTGGTCTGTAGGTCGATTCTCCGGCTGCAAGTCGAACCTAAATTTTGCAGCCAGAGAAGTCTGTAACTCAAAAAGTCTGTAAGTCGAGCTGTCTGTAAGTCGAGGGTCCACTGTACTCATTCTCGCTTCTCTTGGAGAACAGCCAGCCCCCCCCCAGGAGCTGAGAGTGGACACAGCCCTCCCCGATCTGTCCGTCACAACAAAAGTGTTACCTATAATGTGCCAAACGTTATGAGAGGTGAACGCGTAGCTGTCTACATAATCTGTATGTCACTCTTTAAACATCAGTTTACGTTCCCAGGGTGTCAGAACAAGAAAGTAACTGAAATACAATAAAAACCTGGGGTAGCGGTAGGGGTGTGGGTGTGAGCGGGGAAGCTCACTGATAGGTACAACTAACTCAAATGTGGTCATTATTAGAATTCTAGGATTTTCAGAAGTTGAGGAGAGGCACTCCTGCAGGTCTGTTTCCTCTGAGCTGGTTTTGGTTAGATTTTTTTTAAAAAATGCCCCTGGGAAGGCAGAGCGGTGTTTCAGCTGAAGGGGCCGGGAATGCTGGCAGAACAGGCTCCTTGGTCTCCTTCAGAGTAGGTCACACTGGCCTGGTGTGTTCCTCTGCTTAGCCCGTAGGCGATCACTTTACTGTATTTGCCTTTCACTTCCCTCCGTGCTGTTCTGTATGTTTGGGACTTAGCATCCCGGGGGTCTCTTCATCCCACATCTTCCTGCAGCTGGTAAGACATGGTGCATCTGAATGGGAATAACCGTGTGCCATCAAGTTCTGACTTATGGCTTTCTAGGCATAAAAACTCTCCTAAGCAGGCTCAAGGGACGACAGAGGACGAGATGGTTGGACAGAGTCACCGAAGCGGCCGACATGAATGTGACCCAACTCTGGGAGGCCAGTGTGCTCTGGTCCGTGGGGTCACAAAGAGAGTCGGACATCACTAAACGACTGAACAACAACAAGCAGACTCTCGGCGGCTGCTCCTGGTAGTGCTCTGGGACCAAGTAGTTTGGGGACAAGACCCATAATTCCGTCAGCCATACACACTCTGGGGATCTCAGCTGGCCTGGCTCTACAGCCAGGCACTCCCTCCAGCCCACTTACCGATGCTTAGCTCTTGCAAATGATGCCTCCCCCCACCCACCCACCCAGCCCTTCCGGCTCAAAGCTAATCAACCAATCATTAGCTTTCAACACTCATCTCATCTTTTCACTTTCCACACAAAGTTGTTGATGAAAACAGACTGCAGCTGACGGGAAAATTCAATTTCTGCTGGTGATGCAGGAACTGGAGAGGACCCCACCGCCACCGCCGCCACCTCCTCCTCCTTGACGAGTTGTTTGTGTACGTGCACATCCCGCTCATTACTGTCCTGGCTTTCCTTTCGCGTGAGGGAACAGGACTGCTTTCCCTTCTCCAAACAGCCACGGCAGCCAATAGGGTCTGTCTGCTGTTGTGGGAAGGAGGAGGGCTCGGCTTTCATCCTAGAAGCCGTGTTTCAGAAAACAGGTCTGGTTTTCTCAAAACAACAGGCAGGTGAGATGCGTGTGGTTCTTCAGGCTGCTCTGCTGAGCGGCGAAAACACTTGGTCACCTTTGCAAATAAGTGCCCTTTGCGAATGTGGGGATATGAACCCCTGGCAATACGGGATCCCTTCCTTGGAGTGCTTGTTTACACCTGCTCAAGCTGAGCATACACAGAAGTGAGCGTACATAGAGAGGATCACATTGATGCCGGTGTCTGTTTTCCCAAGCTCCAGCTATTCTTTCTGCTCACCTGTCAGACTTGGCCTTGCAAACCACTTGGAGACCTTTTTGTGGCCTTCTGAATCAGCAGCTGCCCAAGATCAGAACCGGAAGAGGTTTTGCTGCACTCTGTGTAATAAATAGAATGTGGATCATTATCTGCCTACTCTTCACGAAGGGGCCAACTGGTTTTTTTCCCCCTTTGCAAACTGCTGGCTCCTCCTATGTTGTGTGGTTGCCATTACGGATCCCAGCAGGCTCCCTCCCACGCTCCCACCCCCAGCAGATGTCCAGATTCCCCCGTTCTTGCTTAAAGGCCAGCCATGGCCATTTCCATGGAGGACCATGGAATGAGTGGCTGTGGGGAAGGGTAGACACACACGCACACACACCCGTCGCCTCCTGGTTGAGTCAGGCTCTTGATCATGTTCATAGCTCAGGTCTGATGCTTCCTTCCTTCAGGGTTATTTCCTTCCATCCATACCCTAGAGGTGGGGAAAGCGAGGGGGACCGAATCTCAGCTTCCCCACTGCAAGGGGGGGGGGGGGGATGTGATCTACCAGGACCCCACTTCCAAAATGTTATTTGGAACAAAGTCCCATGTGGGGTGAACGAAAGCGGAAAGGATGATGACCGGGATGGAAATAAGGCAGATGATGTTGCAGAAATTTGCCCATGACTAAGCATCGGCTCACTTCTTGTTCAAGGCACAGATTGAGTTACAAGGGAAGTGGCTGAAGGGCATGGGGGGTGGGGGGGGATAGGAGGCTCTGTGGGGTGCTCTGCCCGCAGAATCCTCTTTTAGCCCTCTTTAGAGCAACCCTCCACCTCACTGGTTACCACCCTAAGTGGGGATTTAAAAAGAAAAGAGCTGGGTGATCATATGCCAGCGTGGAGGGCGCAGGCTGCTAAGCCAGGTGCTTGAAAAGAACAGATGGAAACGGAGCAGCTGTCGTCGTTCCCAGGCACCCTGAGTACCCAGGCATCCTTTCTGCGTTTTTCAGCCCTCTTAGGGTTGGATTCTCATGTAAGCTCTTGCGAACCGGCGTTTGGGAGAGGTTGGGGCCTCGCAGGGTCTTTGAGCAAAGACCCACTGATGGGCGCTCTGCTCAGCTTGGGGGTTTGCTTTCTGAGGCCAGAGAGCGTACGGGGGGGGGGGGGGAGAAGCCCAGAAACGAAAATGGAGGAGAGCATCAGGAGGTCTTTCGAAGCTCCTGGGGTGCTAGTTTAGTGCCAGAAATTTTCCTCTGGGACAAGCAGAGGGCTTGTGGGAGAAGTCCTCTCACTGCCTGCAGAAGAACAACAGGAGCCTCCAAACGAGCCTTCGTCCCAGGGTGGATTATTTTATCCCACGAAATGTTGTGGCTGGAAAACGTGGCTGACGTGTGTCCTCCGTTCCTGTCCAAGTGATAGGAACTAGCATGAAGAGAAGAAGCAAGGCCGTTGTGGAGAAAGGGTCCGTCTAGGCGGGTTTGGGAGACACCCGTTCCCTCCACTTTGCTGTGTAAAGGGCCCCTGGGGAGAGGGGCAGGGATGTTCCAGGGGCCGTCTGCCCCTTCAACATCTCCCAGGCACATGAAACACCCTATGAGGGTCACTGTAGATCATCATTCCTGAAGGATTTGGCACATTCGCCTACACATTCGTCATTCGCCTGCCTCGGAGTCTGCAAACTGAAGGTTGTGGCTTCTTTTATTGAGTCCGTCCTTACGTTCACTCATTCCTCTTTTCCTACTGACCTCAGTTTTTCCTAGTATTCTCCTCTTTCCGAGTGAGTCTAGAATGTATCTCTTAACTTGCTTCTTTCACCTTTTTAACCTCTTATTTACTCTGCCAAGGGTAGGTTTTGAGACTCGCCTCTCTGTGAAATATCCTGACTGATGTGATGCACCAAGACCCATGAAAGGGCCTTCAAAATCAATTTGCTTTGTTTCTTCCCAGTCTCGTGGCCTCCCGCCTGCTTTTTAAAATTTCACTCCGACGAGGGGCTGGTGCAGTGGCTTGGCTTCGTTTTGCAGCCTTTTTACCTGGAAACGAACGGAGGGGAGGGCTGAGAGGGAGGGGTCCTTGCAGATCCAACCATGGCGTTACAATGAGGCATCTGTGAGAAAGCGGCAAGGTTGCGCTTTGCCAGCAGAGTGAGACTTGGCAGGCATCATGGGAGCAAAATGCCACCTGCCCCCCCCCTCTCCGGCCGTGGTGCAGGCAGGCTTCCGCTCCTTCCGTGCCAGTTTGTGGTGAAGCCTCACAAGAACTGGGGGAGGCGGTTCAGACGATCCGGGTACCCCAGCTCTTCCCGGAGCCCTCTGGGCTCTTTGGGGGGATGCCCCTGTTCTCCCCCCCTCCGTTAGCTTTGAAGGCAGCCCCAGTGCATGGGGGGGTAGTCGGGGCCCTTGCGACGGGGCCCGAGCCCAGGGTGCCCTTGGTCTTCCTCACCGTGGACTTTGGCCCACGAGGTTCACCCTCTGAGGAGCCAAAAGTGGTCGTCCCAGGATGGCTGTTGAGGATGGCCGGGGTTTGGGGGGGTTCCCACCTCACCGCTTGGAGGGGTGACGAGGAAGAGCCGCCAGCCGCCATCCTGGCCAGTGGCATGGAAGCAGCACAGGCCAGAAAGGCTTGGAAGAAGGGGTGGGTGGGGAGGGAACCTCCGGCAGGGCCTCCCTCCCTCCCCCACACACACACCCGCGTGGTCTCAGAGAACCTACCCAGGGGGGCTCTCGGCTGAGCTCCCGACCCTAACGAGCCATCGCCGCTTTGTTTTTCAGTCCTTCCCGGCCGCTCGCCAACATGAATGATGCCATGGTCACCCACACGTCCTCGGGAGCCCCCACCCCAACAAAAAGGTAGGTCGGGGAGGGGAGGGGGCAGCTTGTTTTTCTTTTGCCTGTGGGTGGGGTGGGAGTGCCACACGGGGGTCTGCACAGGGGATGGGACCGGTCAGCGACAGTCGCCGCTCCTGCCCACAAGGCTCTGCTGCTCCGTCGCCATTCCGAAAACCAGCTCTTCTCCTCTTGGAATGGAGGCAGGGGTCCCTTCTCGTGCGCCATTTCCCCCTCTTGCCCCATCCCTTCTGGCTGGGCTCTTGCGCTCTGGTGTCTTGTAGGGTTGCTCCCATCATCCTTCCAAGGCTGTAGCCGTGCTGGCTGAAGACGACAGGGGTTGTGGTCGGATCCACCTGGAGGCTGTGGCTAGGCTGGGGCAGGCTGCTTTAGGCCCAGTCATGATGGTGATGTGGATGGTAGTGGTGGTGATGATGATGGTGATGACGGCAACAACAATCTGTGCCTCAAGGGTGGAGGTGGTGAGGCAGAGATTGTCTAAGAGTGAGCCCAAAGGCCTCGCCTCCCCGGCCACCCTCTCCCCCCCCCACAACCCCGGTTTGCTCTCCTGTAAGAGAAAAGCTCTTGCCACCTGCACAGGCTCTGAGCAGGATCTGGCCAGGGTGGTGGAAGAAGTGGCTTCCTTTCTGTGGACGGGACTTCTCAGAATCCATCCACCAGCGGTGCCTTGACTTGCAACCCATTCGAGTTACAACCAGCTCCGGTCGCAACGTTTGGCTTTGACTTGCAACCGGCACTTTGAGAGACAACAAGAAAAAAGTTTGGCTTTGACTTGCATCCGGCACTTTGAGAGACAACAAGAAAAAAGGCCTCTTTTTTTCCCCATAGTTCCCTCCCTCCTTTCCTCCCTCCTTTCTTGCCCCTTTTTAAAATCTTAGTGGTCATTTTAGGTAAAAAAAGAAAAGAAAAGAAAAGAAAAGAAAAAAAGAGTCTCCCCCTAGTGGATGGATTAGCCGCTTTTGCATTAGTTCGTATGGGAACTAATGCTTTGAGATACTGTATAACAAAAAAACACAAAAAAACACAAAAAAACCGCCGGAATGGATGAATCGCTTTTCAGTGTATTCCTATGGGAAAAAAAACACACACAAAAAACGCAAAAAACCCGCCGGAACGGATGAATCGCTTTTCAGTGAATTCCTATGGGAAATGGTGCTTTGAGTTATGACTAACCTGAGTTACAACCATCATCCTGTAACGAATTAAGTTCGCAACTCAAGGCACCACTTGTATCTGGGAGTTGCAAGCCAAGAATGGAACAGCTCTCCCAGTCTCTGGGAGATTAACACAAAAAACGCAAAAAACCCGCCGGAACGGATGAATCGCTTTTCAGTGAATTCCTATGGGAAATGGTGCTTTGAGTTATGACTAACCTGAGTTACAACCATCATCCTGTAACGAATTAAGTTCGCAACTCAAGGCACCACTTGTATCTGGGAGTTGCAAGCCAAGAATGGAACAGCTCTCCCAGTCTCTGGGAGATTAATTAGTTTTCCAGCAGGAATCGAAGGCATAGGAGGTCGTGGCTTCCTATCAGTTTGGAGGGGTGTGTGTGTGTGTCTCGTCCAGTTGCCGGCTGGGATGCAAAGGGAGCCCTTGCCCCCGACAGTGGTCCTCGCTGGCCTGTGGATGATGAAAGGAGGAGGCTTTTTGAAGGCAGTGACAGCAAATGATTGGGCTTCAGCCAAGGAGAAGGAGGCTGAAACCAGGTTGCCTTTTCTGACCCAGCCTGATGCTTCTTATGAATGTCAGTCAACAGGATTTCAGACTTTTATGAGCAAAACCAATATTTCTGACTTCTTTCTGCATTAGTTGTGTTTTGTTGTTGTTGTTGGGTGTTCTCAAGTCGCCTCCGGCTCAAGCTGAACCTATGAATGAATTATCTCCAAAAGGTCCCTGTCCTCAGCAGCCCTGCTCAGCTCCGGCAAACTCACTTATATTTATTTATTATTTATTTATTTA